GACTTCCCCAAGCGAACCCAAGACGCTCCAAAGAGGCCCCCAAGATAGCCCAAGAGGGCGCCAAGACGGCCCAAGGGCCGACTCAGACGGCTCCAGGAGGGGTCCAAGAGGGGAATTCCGACTCGAAAGTTGCAGCCTTCCGCCCAAAGACCCTCCCAGGAGGTCCCAAGAGTCCCCAAGAGGCCCCAAGAGGCCCCCAAGAGACCCCCAAGAGGCCCAAACGAGGCCTCAAGATGGCACAAAACGAATAGGACGGCCTCCAAGAAGCCTCCCAAAGGGGTCCGGAATGGTCTTCCTGCGGATCAGGGCCCGAGCGAGACTGGGACTGCACCGGGACATATCCTCTCACATTGTTGCGCCGACGGCAAGAAGCCGAGTTATGCGTGTGTATATATATATATACACATGTGCGTACATAAATACACATCATGTACGTCGATGCGCTATCTATATGTGTATGCGTGTGTGCGTGCGGCTTCCAATCGTGCAATTACGGTGGCGGATCCCACCACAATAGTGCAGCGCCACAGTGCTATAGCGTAGCTGACACATTTCCAGCGTGATGCTGTTTGAAACAAGTCTTGCGCCGCTGAAGCGTGGCAATGCTGCTGTGCTGCTGCCGTGACTCAGAAGTTCCGCCCCGCGCGCTGCTGCCTGCGAATAGTTATTATTGGGCCGCCGCAGCAGTGCCAGATGCAGCGCTGCAGTGCTCCTGGAGCCTCCACCCTCCTCCCTCCTCCCCGCTGCCCCACCCCTCCGCTCTGCTCCATCCCTGCCTCGGCGCGGTCGGGCCGAGGCCGTCGGCGCCCGCAGAGCGGCTTGGCGCATCGTTGCGGTCGCGGAGCACGAGGAGGACGGCATGCGGGGGGGCGGGGGGGCGGGCTGGCAGAGGGGGGGTTTTCAAGCAAAGGTGCGCTCGCGCCTCGTCTGACCGCCTATCCCTCCCTCCCATCCCTCCCCGTGGCGCTGATTTTTCTCTATCGTGTCATAGCCGATCTGCGACTCCCACAGAAATATCTTCTCGTGTTATGCACCATCGGAGGATGGGCAGCTGGGTGCAGAGGAGGATGCGGTGCCGGGGGAGCAGAAGGATGAGCGGGAGGAGATGGTTGAGGACGAACAGCAGCAGCAGGAATTGAAGCGGAAGGACCGGGAGGAGCAAAAGGACCAGAGGAAGGCGGAGGATTGGAAATGAGGGGGGCGACAACGATGAAGGGAGACTCGGATTCAAAAAGGTGGCCCGCGTTGGGGCGAGAATACAATCAGCAGTAGGAACTGGAGTGGAAGGTGCGGGAAGAGTAGGAGCACTAGGGGAAGGCGGAGGAGGGGAAATGAGCAGGTGGACCAGAATGACGCAAGATTCGGAACCAGAAAATTGGCCGACGCTGGGGCAAAAGTGCCCTTCTTAACGACGGGAGCAAAGCGCCGATCCGAACATGGGGCCTACGTTGTAGCGGGAGCACAGTCTGGGAACACGGAAGACAGCCGGGTTGCACGACAGCCTGAGAGAAAGGAACAAGCAATGTTTGAAATCTTGTGCGTGGAGAAACAGCCCGCGGAGGGGGCGGGAGATCTCCCACACAACTTCAGAGGGGAGGGAGGGAGAGTGGTATGCATATTGTTTCTTTGTGGAGGGTGGCGCCGAAAAAGGTTTGAGGGGGGGGTGAGGGAGTCGGCAGCCTCCGAGGCCCCTCAGCCCACGGGCGGCGGAGCGGTGGGCCGAGCCCAGCATCTGTCACCGCCCAGGATGGGCGGCGAGCGAGGGGGGGAAGCGAGAAGGAGAAGGCCCGCTCAGAAGGCGGCGGGGCTTCTCAGAAGCCATCGCGCCTTATGAGAAGTGTCTCCCTTGTCTTTCTGGCGAAGGCGTAGAACTCTTTTCAGAAGGCCGGGGGATTTCCGAGCATTCCGAGAAGGCCCGCCCTTTCTCGCTTCCCCCCCGGGCTCGCCGCCGACAGGAGCTCGGCGTCACCCCAACATACTACTACTATGTATGCGTCGGCCCCCCAGGGGCGACGCGCGCACCGAGAAATCTTATATCACATGCGTCGTGGCGGGGGCGCTTCTGGCCACACCGTTCGGAAAACGATATACTGCCAGATGGGTATACTAGACGTTCGGGTCAGACGCGCGCCTCCAAGGAGGACACACAGAATTATCAAGTCTCCGTGCGTCCCAGGAGCTCAAGGGCAACACGCTCACCAAGGCACGCGCCACGGAGTACCGGAAGAGGATCGAGGGCGAGCTGAAGGGGCCGCCAGCCCCCCCCCGCCCCTGCCCGCCGGCTCGCGGGCAGAGGACCAGCTCCACGTCGCTCCAGCCGTTGGGCTACGCCTGCTCCTCTCTAGAATTCCCAGATAGGGCCGGATTGGAGACGGGGTCGGAGGATCGCGCCGCATGGCCGATGCATCGGCGATGCGACTCGATGTGGAACCCGATCTTCTCCACGTTGACGCCGCTGCCACATCGCCGACGCATGGCCGACGCATCGCCGATGCATCGACGACGCATCGGCGATGCGGCGAGGTCATCCGACCCCATGCAATTTATCCTTGGCATGTGTCGGACGTGTGCAAATTTTCTCCGCAGAGACCATTTGACGAGCACGTTGGGCCACCCTGCGAACCAAATGCTCGCGCGAGGCCGAACAGTGCACGGAGCATGGACGTGCGAGCGATGGCAAGGCGAGCCCCGAACCCCTCTTTCTTGGAATCAGAGCCGGTGATTGGGGCGGCGACTCTCAGCCTTTGGCCTCCGAGCGCGAAAGTTTGCATCTTTCGAACCTGCTTTGTCGGCGCTGAAGCACAGCTTCAACCCGCTGGCCTCTCCCACGCGGCGCGTTGCCCCCCGTCCCTGGGGCGCCTACTGAGTGTTCTATGTTTGGGAAGTTCCGTCTTGATTCCAAGAGGGAGGGGTTCGGGGCTTCCCAGCCCTCCGACGACTCGAACTTTCGGGTCGCTGGCCACTGGAGCTATAGAGGCGACCCATGCCAAGAAACACCCTGCTTGCCTCCAGGATGCCCCGGGTTTCTTGGGGTTCGATGGTTTTGCGCTGGAGAGCGTGACGTTCCCACACCAGAAACCACTGCACGTCCTGGGGTCTCAGGGCTGGGTTTCTGGTGGAAGGTCTCTTGTGGACGGGCACCTACTGTGTCAGACTCCCCCCGTCCAGACTCCTGTCTATTGACGGTCCCCTCCCCACTCCCCCACTTCCCCCCGCCGAAGGCCTACAGAAGGACGAGGAGAAGGAAATTCATCCCATTCCTCTCCATCCCTCCCGCCCTCCCCGCTTCCCCTTCCGACATCCCTTCCTCCCCACACCCTTTTGCTACCTTTTCCCCGTCTCCTCTTGCCTCCACCCTTGTCCCAGACTCCCACGCTGAAACTCCGAGAATCCCGAGCATTTTCCAGAATCGTCTTCCCACCCAGCCCCCTTTGAACTCTCTGACCCCCTGACAACTGCCCTATAACTTCTTTGTACTCCTACATCCTTTGCCCGCCCCGAGGCAGGACGCAGACTGTGGGACTTGCGTTCGGTCTGTACAGGATGTGCCCTGTGGCAGGGGGTTTGTCGTGGTCGTCAATATTGGCCTCTCAGGCTGCACTGGTCTTCTGCTCGTATCCGCGCAAGGCGGCCGACCAGGTCTGAACGTGCTCTGCCATTGCTGGTCCGGTGGCAGCTATCCACGACCGCGCCCGAAGGAGAAGCCCCCCCGGGGCGGGGTGGAGGGGCCCGTGCAGTGGCGCGCGTCGGCCCCCCTGAGACTTGGCCCCTCGCACGGGCACGTGGCGGCGCTGGAGGGGCGCCCAGGAGGGGCAGCACGGTTGTTGCCCGACGGGGCGCCGCCAGGCCGTCTTCGCCGACAGGAGATGTTCAGGAGAAGCTGCCATCCCAAGGGTTGTCCCAGAGCATGCAAGCCTGACGACTTGTTTACAGTGGAGACCCATGCCAAGACACACCCTGCTTGCCTCCAGGGTGCTCTGGGTTTCTTGGGTTTCGATGGTTTTGCGATGGAAAGAGTGACGTTCCCACGCCACAAATCCGAGGAGAGGACGTCCTGGGGTCTCAGGGTTGGGTTTCCTGTGGAAGGTTTCTTGTGGTCGAGCTCCTCCTGTAGTGTCGCCGCGTGCGAATCTAGAATCCGCCCTCGGCTGTAGCCGCCTAGATCCCCCCCACCCCAGAACCTCGCAACACGCCCGACCACTCTCGTCTCCTCTCCTCCCATTTTGCCCCCACCTTGCTCCTCCCTATCCCGTCTTTCTTCCTTCCTTCCCCCGCTCTCCCTCGCTTCCTTCTCCGCCCTTCCCCCCTCCCTCCACAAGTACACATTATGAATACTGCTCTCCACTCCCGTGACTCTGCTCAGAAGGTGTGCCGCTCTCTCCGCGTGTCGCTTTTGCACATAAATTCAAACGTTTACGTTTCTTATGTGTTCTTTATCGATGTTATTCGGTCTTCGAAAATGGTATACCCGCTGCCGTGCTGACCTCATTTCCTCGCCTATGGTCCTTTGGTCTCACTTCCGCGTTTTCGGTCCTTCCGAATGATGCTCCCGCTGCAGCGTTGGACTCAATCCGTGTTTTCGCTCCCTCCGAATGGTGATCCCATTGCAGCGTTGGATCGAACTGTCGTCCTCCAGCAAGATATTTAGGCTGCACCATTCACGCAGCAAGCCATGCAATTCAATGCTATGTTACGTGCCGCTATCAATATGCGATTACATGCCTTGCTGCGGACAGCTGTGATATGCAACGCTGGTCTACGCTGTACCATGACATGTAACTGCGTGCCATGCAGAGCTATGTTATGTACCGCAATGCGATGTCATACCTTCCGCTGCAATGCTATGACATGCAATGCTGGATTTACGCAATGCTGTGCCATGCAAGGCATCGCTGCCTTTCATGCTCGCAGTCCCTCTTCTCCCTTCTCCCTCCCGTCCGCAGCCGCTTCTGGCCTGGCGACGGTTGCCATTTTTTTTGTTCCCCCGCCTCGCCTCTGCCATGCTTGCGCCGTTGCTCCGCGCGGCGCGGTTGCGCGCGCCGCCGCCGCGCCCGCTTGGCGCCCGGTCGCTCTTCGACGCGACGGCCTACGCCGCCACGCGGCTCCCGCTGGCTGAGGCGCCCCAGGGCGCTGGGCAGACACGAGGGTCCCCCCTCAGGCCCCTCTGAGCTCCCTCCATGTCGCCCCCGAGCCCCCAGCACCAGCCCACCCCCCAAGCCCATCACCCCGAAGCCCCCGCTGCGACATCGAGCAACAGCACTTACTGCTTTGCAGACATGCTCGATATGTCCACATACAACATGCATCCCTCATGATTATAATCCCATTCATGGAGGAATGATCCATACGGGCTTCGCTCTCTTCCGCCGGCCCTCTTTACATAAGACTGGGAGATGGCAGACCTGTGTTGGGACGTGTCTGTGTTGTTTTAAACAATTTCTGGGATTCCATGCGATGACGATTGGCTTTCAGAACGCATCTTGAGATACAGTGGAGACCCATGCCAAGAAACACCCTGCTTGACTTCATGGTGCCCTGGGTTACTTGGGTTTCGATGGTTTTGCGATGGTTTCGCCAAACATCAAAGGACGTCCTGGGGTCTCAGGGTTTGGTTTCTTGTGGAAGGTTTCTTGTGGTCGGGACCATACTTTTGTAGCTGTTGTTGAACACTTGTTCTTTCTCAGAGCGTGACGTCGGCGCATGTGTCGAGATGATCTGCCTTCGGAAACACGAACCTGGCGTAATTTGTAAAAAGGGTTCTGGCCTCGGGAGCGCGAACCTGGCGCAGGTTGGACAACGTACGGTCGGAAACTTACGAAACAGTCCACACATTAAACCTGACGTGATATCCTGCTAGCCTGTCACACGGATCGGATTTTCTAGCAGATTTAGCTCCCCTATGGGCAGTCTGGGCCCCCCTGTGGCCTGCTGCCGTGCAGTCACTCCTTGAGAAAACTGCTCTAACACAGCTGAACGATTGCAAGACGCATGTCATTAGTGGACGAGGCATAGCGCAGAGGAGGGACAGGGAGAGAGTGAGAAAGAGAGAGAGAGAGAGAGAAAAAAACAGAAAAGGCAGAAAGACAGAAAGAAAACACACACACATAGCCTTGACACCACCACCACCACCACCACCACCACCACCACCACCACCACTGGAACTGGCCTCCTGGGACAGGAGATCCGCCCATGAGACAGGGTTCTCCCCGCACAGGTCTTTCCTGGAGGCTGCCTGGGTCCTGCTCTTGTCTCATGGACTACGCCCTCCACGAGTTTCCGTATCTGCTCGCCCATGAGAGCGGGTGGTTGAGCTAGAGTGTCGGCTGCGCCCGCTGGGGCGTCTGGCAGCACGGCTCCCGCCAGGGCGGGGTCGCGCTGGCCGTCCTTCTCGTTTCCCTCTGGCCCCTTCATGGCGGAAGGGGCTTTTGCGTCTGCCGTGGATCCGCGCGTGCAAGCTCGTGCGAGCTCGGCTCCCAGTCGGGGGGCTCGGGAGCCGCGCGCGCACTGCTCCCTCAGGATCCTGCGCCGCCGCCCGTGGCCGCCCGGACGAACCGAGCTCAGTCACCAATTGTCGCAGCAGCAGCAGAGAGAGTATATCTTTTCCACTTGGCAACGCACGGTCGGAGATCGAAGACACAGTCCACAAGCTAAACCTGACGTGATAAACCTGCTACCGTACCGCAAAGGGACTATGATTCTGGCCTCCAGAGCGCGAGTTTGGCGTAATGTCGAAATGGTTCTGGCCTCGGGAGCTCGAATTGGAAGTCATGAGCAGTGATTTTGATTTCGGGAGCGCGAATATTGTGTGATATGATATGTGTTGTGGCTTCGGGAGCGCGAGGGTGGTGTATTTTACCAGGGATTCTGGTTCCGGGAGCGCAAACCTTGTACTTTTTTCAAAAAGCGTTCTGGCGTACTTTGCAAAGGATTCTGGCCTCAGCGGTGCAAGTTTGGCGTAATGCACGAAGGATTATTGCCACGGGGACGCGAACCTCATACATGTTTACGTGTCTCAGGGCCCACCGTAAATTCAAAGCACGCGATTCGTGTGTTGTGTCCAGGTTGGTTTTCGGTTCCCTCCCCTCGCGCGGACAGGAACACTTCACGTTGGGAATCATAAAGTGTTACACATATTTTGTTAAACGGGAAAATGGAATTGGATTCAGTTGCAGGAAACCTCAGCGCCGCAGTTCAATGGGCCAACAAGGGGTTGGCAGATGTTATGCGTAGGGAGGGGGATGATCCTGTACCCCGATCTCCCGCTCGAAAATGGATTGCCAACACCTCTTATGAGGAACTGTACCACTTTCAGAGCAGAAGCCACACCGCCGTCACAATCGCCCTGCCCCTGCCAGATTCCGGAATGCGACCAGGCCAGAAATTGTTCAATTAGTCGTGAGTGTTCTCTTGAAGCCATCTTGGGTCTTTGGGGGGGATCTCCCGGGGGGCTGTTTGGGATAAGTCGAGCGCCCCCCGTTTTTCCGATTCCTTCCATCGGGTCGAATGGGCTGCAACGCCGACGAGACGGGAGTTCCATCGGAAGCGCGAGGGCCTCTCATTGAGACCGAACAAAGAAGACTTCGGAGGCCCTTAACCCCAGGACTTCCCCCTAAAGTTACTCTGGAAACCCTTGGAGGCTCTCGAAGTACTCCGAAGGCCCCCTTTGGAACGAGGGATATCAATCAAAACAGGTAACGTGCACATTCCCGACCCTCGATCCTCGGACGGCGACGACGACGCTGTCGATGACGACGGCTGGGGCAGCAGCGGCAGCGGTGACGACGGCACGCGTCGTCGCCGCCGTCGTTTGCACGAGGAGATGTGACCTTGCTGTTCAGCTGCCAGCGGCAAACCCCGCAACCGTGCCTGTTCAACAGCGTTGCAGGAGGGATGCTGAGTGCAGGAACAGCACAATTCCGACAAGCGGTCTGATAAGGACGGGTCGAGAATTCGACCGCGTCATCGTCCGCGCGGTATGAAGGAGGTCGAGTTCACACCCCGCGGCAATTCAGCGATTGGTCTGAATTGAGGACGGCCGTGATCCAGACATCGTTTTCGTCCGCGCGGTAGGGAGGTTGAGGATGATGATGAGGGTGAGGATGATGATGATGCTGATGATGCTGATGATGTTGATACTGGTGGTGACGACGACGATAATGATGACGATGCTGATGATGATGTTGTTGTTGATGGTGATGATAATTCTGACGATGATGATGCCGTCGACGATGTTGATGATCGTGATGATGCTGATGATGATGATGTTGGTGACGACGATGACGATGCCGATGGTGATGATGATGCTGACGATGAGAATGAGGACGAGGATGATGAGGCGGATGATGATAATGATGATGGTGTTGATGTTGATGGTGGTGGTGATGATGATGATGATGATGGTAGTGGTGGTGGTGATAGTGGTGATGGTGATGGTGATGGTGATGGTGATGGTGATGGTGGTGATGGTGATGATGATGATGATGATGGTGATGGTGATGATGATGATGATGATGATGATGATGATGATGATGCTGCTGATGATGCTGATGATGATGATGATGATGAGCGGGAGCATATCTGAGGAGGAGAAAGAGAGGGACATGATGATGATTCTGATGACGATGATGATGCTGATGATGCCGCTGGTGATGATCTGGATTCCGATGACGATGGTGATGATTGTGGTGGTGACGATGATGGTGGTGCTGACTCTGATGCTGACGATGATGCTGAGGTCGCTGATGATGACGATGCTGATTATGATGCGTATGATGATGATGATGATGATGATGATGATGATGATGATGATGATGATGATGATGATGATGATGATGATGATGATGATGCTGATGCTGATGATGATGATGATGATGATGATGGCGATGCAGAGGACGATGCTAGTGCTGCTGATGCTGATGATGATGACGATGATGGTGTTGTTCATGATGATGATGCTGATAGTGTGGCGGTGGTGATGATTATGATGGTCATGATGAAGGTACTGATGATGCTGATGATGATGATTACCAGCAGTTCTATGACGATGATGCTGACGATGCTGATGATGCTGGTTTCGATGCTGCTGGTGATGATGATGCTGATGATGACGATGCTGATGCTGATGATGATGATGCTGCTGCTGATGAGGAGGATGATGTTGATGATGATTATGATGATGATGCTGATGATGATGCTGATGATGATGATGACGATGATGATGATCACAATGGAGATGATGATGACACTGATGACGATGATGATGATGATGATGATGATGAGGAGGAGGAGGAGGAGGAGGAGGAGGAGGAGGAGGAGGAGGAGGAGGAGGAGGAGGAGGAGGAGGAGGAGGAGGAGGAGTTGGAGCAGCAGGGAAATAAGGAGGAACGGAGGAGGAGGAGGAGGAGGAGGAGGAGGACCAGGAAAGAAGCAGGAGCAGGAGGAGGAGGAGGAAGAGGAGAAGGAGGATTAGGTTCAGGAGGAGGAGGATGAGAAGGCGGAGGAGCGGGAGGAGGAGGGGTTGGAGGAGGAAGAGGAGGAGAAGGAGGAGGAGGTGGTGAAGAAGGAGGGCGGAGGAGGAGGATGAGGAGAAAGATGAGGATTTCAGGGGGAAAATGAGGACGAGGAGGAGAAAGCTTCTTGGGACCCTCTTGGGGTCTCGTGGGGGCTTCCTCTGAGCCTCCTGGGGGGATTCGTGGAGGACTCTTGGGTGCCTGTTGGGGCCTCTTGGGGACCTCTTGGAGCCTCCTGGACTGTCTTATCTTAAGGGACTCTTGGCCCGTCTGATGCCTTCCAAGGCTGCCTTGGGGCCCTGTCTGAGCCGTTGTGCCGTCTTTGAGCGCTTTTGGGCCGTCTTGGGGCCCTCTTGGGATCCTCTTGGGCGATCTTGGGGTCCTCTTGGGATGACTCGGAGCCCTCGTGGCGTGGGGGCCTCATCGGCTGTCTTTGAGCTATATTGGAAGCCTCTTGGGCAGGTTTGGGCGATCGGAAACCCAAATAGGCGAGAGCCTCAACAACCTGAGGAACATCAATGGTTTTGGCTTCCTCAGGTTCTCCTGGAGGGCCTCCTGGAGGGCATCGTGGGCTGTCTTGGGGGCCTCTCGGGCCGTCTTGCGGATGTCTTTAGAGCCTCTTGAGCCGTCTATCTAGAGCCGTGTTGGTGTCGCCTTCGCTGTCCAAGAAACGGTCTTGGAGACCACATTGGCCATTGGGAGGCCGCAAAGGCTGCCAGAAGGCAATCTCTCAGAGCGGGCTAGTTTCGAACGACTCGCGGGCGAGGTGGTGGGGGTTGGCCTTACGAAAGATGTAAAGACCTCCCAGACAACAGACGAGCATTATAACACGCTCACTCCGTGCAGACACGGTGGCGGATAGACGGGCCCTGAACCCGAAGGCTTCTTTGGGAGCTCTTCGCCCTTAATCGTTCTATTGACGGCCCGGGACCTGTTCGGGCCCGTGTGAGTGTGCGTATTGGGGGTAAGTTTGGGGCTGTTTTGCGCCATGGTGGTGCCCTATTGGTCAGTCTTGGGGCTCTCGTGGGCCGTGCGAGGGCCTTTTTTGGGGGCGCTCTTGGGCGTCTCTGCGCCTCGTGGGGGCACGTTGGGGCCATTTCGAGTCCCCGCATGGGCTCCCGCCACCCCCGAGTCAGGGATTGCCGAGCGGGAGCGCTGCTGCCGTTTGGGGAGCCGAGCCGCCGAGGCGATAGCGCCACTCCTGAGCAGGCAATGGCCTGGCATCGCTCGGACGTGTGCATTTCTTCTCGGCGGGAACCATCGAGGAGCATCCTTGATCATTTGGTAAAAAAAACCACGCACGAAACCAAACAAAGCACAGGGAATGGACGTCCGAGCGATGGCGAGATGGGGAGTCGAACATGAAAGGTGTTGCGAGGGGGCGTTGGTTGAGCCCTGGAGCGAAAGAGCAGCTCTTGAGTAAATGATGGGCAAAGATCGAGCGGGAGCGGTGTCTCTGCTGGAAGGCAGACTCGACGACTTTGGGTGAAAGCGAGCAGGTATTCCAGACGCTGCGCGTACCCCCACCAGCCGCCTGCGTCGTAATGAGGGTCATTTTGTCCCTGGCACGTGCACCCGCTGCCGCGGCCTATGGGCCCCAGCAGTTAATTTTCTCGCCCTGTGCCCCTGTCGAGACCATCCCGCTCCCTGGAATCGTACTTGCGAGCCGCCGATCAAAAAAAAATACCCCCACCAGCCCATCCAGAAACGATGGCCAGGCGAGTTGAGGTGATCAGGGAAGTGCAGGAACAAATAGGTGGACGGCCGAACCGTGCGAAGGAGGGAGGAGGAGAAGGAGGAGGCTGGATGGATGGATGAGGGAGTGGGGAGAAGGAAGGTGAATAGGATGATGATGATGATAATGATGATGATGATGATGATGATGATGATGATGATGATGATGATGCTGATGCTGATGCTGATGCTGATGCTGATGCTGATGCTGATGCTGATGCTGATGCTGATGATGATGATGATGATGATGATGATGATGATGATGATGATGATGATGATGAGGAGGAGGAGGAGGAGGAGGGAGGAGGAGGAGGAGGAAGAGGAGGAGGAGGAGGAGGAGGAGGAAGATAATGAGTAGGAGGAGGGAGGGGGAGCAGGAGGAGAAGGGCAAGCAAAAGGGCTAGATGTCTCTTGGATGCCTCGCGGAGCCTCTTGGGATATCTTGTGGGCGTTTTTTGGAGGCCTCGTGGGACGTCTTGGGGGTCTCTCGGCTGTCCTGGAGGGCTCTTGGGCGTCTTGGGTGCCTCGGGGGGGGGGCGCTTGGGACCGCTTGGGGTCCTCTTGGGGGCCTCCTGGGGGGCCCGGGGCCTCGTGGGGCCTCCTGGGCGCCTCTTGGGGCCATCTTGGAGGAGATCGATCAAAGAAGGGGAGGGTCGCAATTCGCGTTGCCCCTCAGAAGGGCCAACATGGGGCCAATCTCCTACATTGATGTTGGCTTCCTCGCCGAGGCCGTTTGGGACGCTCCAGCGACCCTTGATCCGCCCCATCCAGGCCCAGGGGAGGGGGTAAGGGGGAGGGGTCAAGTTACCCCCTCCCCGCCCGCACGCCGTCTAGCTCACTCCCACCCGCCCTCCCAACACATACGTAGCACCCGAGTCTGGCCCGAGCTTGAGCATATTCAGCAGTCGTATTTGGATGGGCAGCTACTGGGGGCCAATCCGCCGCCGCCGCCGCCGCCGCCGCCGCCGCCCGCCGCCGCCGCCCGCCGCCGCCGCCCGCCGCCGCGCCGCCGCCGCCTGCCTGCCGCCGCCGCCGCCGCCGCCGCCGCAGCCGCTGCCGCCACCGCCGCCGCCGCCGCCGCCCGTCGCCGCCGCCCCCCGCTGCCAAACCGCCGCCGCCGCCGCTGCCGCTGCCGCGGCCGCCACCGCCACCGCCGCCGCCGCCGCCGCCGCAGCCGCCGCCGCCGCCGCCGCCAAGTGTGCTGTGTATTGTTTTTTGACAGGGATGGTGGGGGGGCCGCATCGGGTTGGCTGCGCATGTTCCGAATTTGGAGGCAGAGTGTGGTTTGCATTGTTTTTTGCAAGGAATGGTGGGGGGGTTGGCATGGACCCTGGTTGGCCCCCAGTCGTCTGGGGCAGGGGGTGTTTACTAATAGGGAACAGTGATCAAGACCCCCTCCCCGCCCGCAAGCCGTCTCGCTCACTCCCACCCGCCCTCCCGACACATACGTAGCACCCGAGTCTGGCCCGAGCCTGAACATATACAGCAGTCGTCTTTGGATGGGCAGCTACTGGGGGCCAATCCGCAGCCGCCGCCGCCGCCGCCTCCTCCGCCGCCGCCGCCGCCGCCGCCGCCGCCGCTGCCCGCCGCCGCCGCCGCCACGCCGCCGCCGCCGCCCGCCTGCCGCCCGCCGCCGCCGCCGCCGCCGCCGCAGCCGCTGCCGCTGCCGCCACCGCCGCCACCGCCGCCGCCGCCGCCGCGCCCCCCGCTGCCAAACCGCCGCCGCCGCTGCCGCCACCGCCACCGCCGCCGCCGCCGCCGCCGCCGCCGCCGCCGCCGCAGCCGCCACAGCCGCCGCCGCCGCCGCCGCCGCCAAGTGTACTCTGTACTGTTGTTTGACAGGGGTGGTGGGGGGGGGGGCCGCATCGGGTTGGCTGCGCATGTTCCGAATTTGGAGGCAGAGTGTGTTTTGTACAGTTTTTTGCAAGGAATGGTGGGGTGGGGGGGGGTCGTCATGGCCCGCGCTTGGCCCCCAGTCGCCCGGGGGAGGGGGTGTTTATTCATAGGGAACAGTGATATTCTCCTCCCCGGGTTTGAGGAGGGAGGGGTGGAGTAGGAAACGCTTTAAACCACCTGCGCCCAGAGGGCTGGTGAGATTAAGCATGAAGACGGTTGTTGGCTTGAGAGGGCGGTTTAAGCGCCGAGGCGAGCGCGCCATGCCTGAGTAAGTACACGTAGAGGGCGTACCCAGCGTGAGCGAGAAGCAAAAGCACCAGTATGACGGGTGCTCTTGCCTCGACGGCGAGGCAACCGCACCAGTCATCAGCAAAACACGCGGAAATATCAAGCGGAAGTGTTGTTGCTGGCCCGGGGGGCTGGTTTCAGCGCCGAGGATAGAGTGCCACTCATTTAACAAGGGAGTGCAGTGGAAACCGATGCCAATAAACACCCTGCTTGCCTCCAGGGTGCCGTGGGCTTCTTGGGTTCCGATGGGGAAGAACTCCGAAAATCAATGGACGTCTTGTGGTCTCAGGTTTGGGTTTTTGTGGAAGGTTTCCCTTGGTTGAGCTCCTACTGTAGAGTGCTGCCCATGTAAAAATGAAGTATCGAGCGGGAGGGCGGGTGTTCTTGCAGGGCCGGTTTCGGAGGCGGGCAGGAGCGCCCGTCCTGAACACAGAGCCAGGAATCATTCCCGCCATTCCCCGCTCCCCGCGCCCGCGCGCGAGGCGCGCTCGCTACCAGGGCACGTGTTTCACCGGCAGGACTGGTATGACGCCGAGGTCCAGGAGGAGGAGGAGGAGGAGGAGGAGGACAAGGAGCAGGAGAGGAGGAGGCAGGAGGTTGAGGAGGAGGAGGATGACGACGACGACGACGACGAGGTCTAGGAGGGGGAGGATGATGGGGACTGGGGAGGAGTGGGAGGACTGGTGCGACGCCGAGGCCTCTAAGAGGAGGAGGAGGAGCAGGAGCAGGCGATATAGAATGAGGTGGATGGATAGGATGATGATGAGGAGGAGGTAGAGGAAATGGAGGAGGAGGAGCACGACGGCACGACGCCCAGGCGCAGGAGGGGGGATGATGATGATGATGATGATGATGATGATGATGATGATGATGATGATGATGGTGATGATGATGGTGATGGTGGTGATGGTCATGGTGGTGATGGTCATGGTGGTGATGGTCATGGTCATGGTCATGGTCATGGTGACGGTGACGGTGACGGTGATGGTGATGGTCATGGTGATGGTGATGGTGATGGTGGTGATGATGGCGGTGATGATGATAAGTATGATGTTGATGATGATGTTGATGATGATGATAAGGATGATGATTCTGGTGCTGCGGCTGATGTTGATGCTGATGCTGATGCTGTTCATGACGATGATGGCGACTATGATGATATGATTGATCATGATGACGATGATGATGATGCTGATGATGATAATGATGAGCATGATCATGCGAATGAGGAAGGTGATTGTGATGGTGATGATAAGGATGGTCTTGCTGATGATAATGGTGATTATTTTGATGCTGATGCCGACGTTGATGCTGACGCTGTTCATGATGATGATGGTGAGCATGAGGATGAGGACGAGGATTGTGATTGTGGTGATGATGATGGTGATGGTGATGGTGATGGTGATGGTGATGGTGATGGTGATGGTGATATGATGATGATGCTGATGATGATGATGATGTCGATCACGATGACGATGACGATAACGGTGACGGTAACGATAACGATAACGATGATGATGATGATGATGATGATGATGATGATGATGATGATGATGATGATGGTGGTGGTGGTGGTGGTGGTGGTGGTGGTGATGATGATTATGATGATGCTGATGATGATGAGATGATGATGATGATGCTGCTGCTGCTGCTGCTGCTGATGATGATGATGATGATGATGATGATGATGATGATGATGATGATGATGATGATGATGATTCCTCTCGCTTCGCGGGGTGCACGTCCGGACCACGTACAGTCCAGTCGTTGTGGGGACTCCCAGGGGCCTCTGGGCGGCCTCGTGGAGGCTTCTTGGATTCGTCATTTGATGACTGGAAGCGCCTCCGGCGTGGACCGTTGGTTCTCTGGTTCTCTCGGGCATCGGCGGCCCACGAGCGACGGCAACGACAATGGCGACGAGCGACGAAAGATGACGCACGACTGCGACGATGATGACGACGATGACGCCGACGGACAACGACGACGACGAAGGACCCCCCTTCGATGACGCCGACGACGACGGCAACGACAATGACGAGCGACGAACGATGACGCACGACTGCGACGACGATGACAACGACGGCGACGACGAACGACGAACGACGAACGACGATGACGACGACGACGTTGAACAATGATCGACGACGGCACGTCGGACGACGACGACGACGCCGACGGACGACGGACGACGGACGACGACGACGTCGAACGATGACCGACTGGCACGTCGGACGCGACGACAGACGACGACGACTACGAACGATAACCGATAAACAACGACGGACGAACGACGACGGACGAACGGGGGCCGTCTTTGGGGTCGTCTTCGGAGGCGACGTTCGACCCTCCTCCCGCCAGAACGATGACGACGAAGAAGAAGAAGAAGAATATCGGGAAGGAATGGGCGCGGTTGGGAATCAGGATGACGACAACGCGGAGGACGAGGAGGGCGATGAGGGAGCCGAAGATCCAGGAGGCTTTCGCATGAATTTGCATTGTTGTGCACTGCTTGACGTTGCATTCGATTCCTTCGTCGTTGAATTATTGACGGCTTCTCTCATCCGGCCTACAGTACTGGCTCAATGCGTCATTCGGGGTTTGCCTTTGCAACCATGGGCCCACGGGCTTGGGACGACCCCCTCGAATGCTGCAAAGCGCGTGCGAACCTCCACGTGCTTCGCAATCGCGATTGCCGGTGCGGCCCGGAGTGGCCGAAGCTCCGGGGCGACCGCCTCCGAGGGGAAAAGCGGTTGCTGGTCGAGGCCGCCGACGCCGCTGCGAAGGCCGCCCGCCAGAACCCCGACGAGGCAGGCCAGGCCACGATGGCGGCGGCCGCCGCGGCTGCTTCAGACGCCGCGCGTCCGGCAGAGGCGCGCGGGCCGGGGGCCGCAGCAGCGCCTGCCGCGGCTGCCCCTGCCGCCGCGGCTGCTTCAGACGCCGCGCTGCCGGCAGAGGCGCGCGGGCCGGGGGCCGCAGCAGCGCCTGCCGCGGCTGCCCCTGCTCCTTCTGGAGCATCCGCGGCAGTCGCTGCGGAGGAAGAGGTGGGGGAGCTTCTGGGCTCGCGGCCGCAGGCTGCGGACGCGGCACCCTCGGCCAGGGCCAGCTCCGCGAGCTCTTCGAGCTCTTCGGACTCCTCCGACTCGGGCGCTGAGGAGGGGGAGAAGGCGGAAAAGGAGGAGGGGGAGGTGGCTCCTTTCACGCCTCCGACCCCTTCTCTCGAAGCGCAGAAGCCCGCAGCGACAGCCGACGCCTCCGCGCAGACGGCGGCGGGGCCGCAGCTTGCCAGGGAGGCGGCCTGGGAGGCGGCCTTGCGCACGGCGGCGGGGCTCCAGCTGCAGACCGCGGCGGAGCTGCGCCAGCTCCAAGGCCTGGCGATCGCGGGGGCCGCAACGCGACGTGTCGTCTTAGGAGCGCGATTGCGGGGGGGGGGTCCTTCAAGCAGCTGCCGCGCCGCGCGTGTCCGATCCCACTGCAGCCGTGACTCCTCGCGGGCGATCCACAGGCGTGTCTCGACCGCGCTTCTGGGTGAGGTCCCCCGTAGTGTCCCGCGCGCATGTCCCCCTGCAAACGGACGCGGGTGATCTACTCGACCTCGGAATTCCCGCCCCCCCCGCTTGCGTTAAGGGCCACTGGGGCCTCCGCTCTGGGACGACGCGTCGGGATTGCTGCGCCGGGCGAACGCCTCGATGACGAAGGCGTCTACAAGCGTCTGCTGGAGCGGAACGCGCGCGAGGCGGAGGCGCAGGGGCAGGAGAGCCGGCTTTTTGTCTGACCTGTGGGTGTCGTGCCGACCGAGCTGGATAGGGATGGCCGCGGCCGCGCCCGCGTGGACGCCCCTCGTGGCCTTCTACGTGGAAGAGGACAAGGGGCACGTCATGGAGAACGAGGCTTTCGGGCTGCACGCGCGCGCCGCAGTTCGCGGGGACCTCGCAAGCTTCCACGTGCATTGGGAGGACGTGTTCAGCCGGCTCATCGACGCGACGACTCATGGCGACGTCGGTGCGCTTCCCCACGACGCAGAGACAGCATCGAAGCTCGTCCGCTTCGAGTTTCGAATGGGGGGCGCGGCGTTGTCGAAGCATTTGGTAGAGATGCGCCTGCGGGCGCATGTGGTTTTGAAGCTGGGCTTGGGGCTGATCGATCGGAAGCATCCGTCGTTTGGGGCGTCGAGCAATATTGTAGCAATGCGACAGAAGTATGCGGAGCGCGTAGCTGCGAGGTACCCCTGGCTGAACACTCCTGAGGATTCCGACGGCGTCGTACCCCCTGCAGTTCTCGCCGAGGTAACAGTAGACAAGATTGCGAGGAAGGGGGCAGCAGAGAACAAGCACGCCACGCCGTGCTTAGCTCCGGGCCCAATGGAGTGCGCCTTCAGAGACTTACGGCCGACGGCATGCGCGCCCGCGGAGTTCCAATCTCGACAGGGGGGGGCCGAGGAACGCAAGGCGGGGGCTTTGACGGGGGGGGCCATCTTGACGTACAAGGTGGACGCGGGCATGGCGTCCCAATGGAATCCGGCGTATCCAGGTCTTGCGTGCCCGCTCGCACTTCTCTGGCAGGCGGGCGGGCCCAGTTTCACCCCGGCTTATGCGGGCGGGGGAGAACAACAGCATCGCCGCATTCGAGGCGCGGCGGAAGAGGGGGAGTTGAATTCCAGACCCAGCATCGAGATCGGTGCGTGGCTCTCCGGGATGACGCGCCGGGTGGAATCGCAGATCAGGAGCGATTGGCTGTTCATTCGCGACGCTTCGCGACGCATTCCGCCGGCCCGTTGCTGCGAGTACGCGGTTGGGGGGGGCGCGGGGGAGAAGTGAGTGCGAGGGGTAGTGGAGGTGGGTGGGACGAAGGGGGTTGCGCGAGTGTCTTTCGGCGCTTCACCGCGGCCGCGCGGCGGGAGATTACGTCGCGCGCTGATGCCCCCCTGCGCGGGGGCGGCGGTTTCCAGGCATGCGGAATTTATGGTTTAGATTCAAGGGGATCTCCGCCCGTTTGGCGAGCACTGTCAGGAAACGTGCACATGAGAGCACGGGCGATGTCAGCGCCCGTCTCGCGGCGGCCGCGGAGAGCCTGCATGAGAAGCTGGCGAAGGGGGTGCACGGGGAGAACAACGGGCCCATCAACGGCGATTTGACAAAGCTACCGCTTGCGAAGGGCACGTCGGCGACAGAGAAGCAGATCGTTCACAACGTGCGTTCGGTCTCGTCGACGCTGAGCGGCACGCAGGAGATTCGCCGACAAATGGGGCACGCGTTTCAGTCCGCCCCGTTCATGTACGGGCATGGTTTGTTCATCACCATCTCGCCGAATGAGAAGCACTCTTGTCTAGTCCTCCGCTTGCATAGGTGTCGGCGCGAGGACACTTTGCTTCGACGCGACAGCCCCGATGTTCAAGCTGTTCGACAGAAGCTCGCGGGGAAGACGTGGCCGAGTTTGTTCGAAGAAGCCGACGTGGAGCTCCCAGGTTTCGTCGACATGCGGTTGGAAACTGTGTCGCGGGACCCGCTCTGCGCGGTGCAGGCGTTCAGGGTTGCCGTCG